TCAGACTGGCCTTGTGGCCTTACCTCCAGTGGCTGGACTAGTAGTGCCACCCTGACTTGCTTCAGTTTTGGTTGTATTCTTGCTGACTGGTCTCCAGACCCCTGCCTCAGTGGTTGGACTAGTAGTGCCGCCCTGAGCTGTTTGCTTCTTGTTTAGTTTCACCCCTTGTCTAGCCTAGGGGGTGTGTCAACTTATACATATTATCTATGTAGAAGTTATAGGCTAGACTGAGGTATGCTTCTAGTGAGTACAACCAACTAGTATTTGTTCTAGGTTTCCACCTCTAGTAATCATTCGTTTCTACGTTAACAGCCCGCTCCAAAGCAGCAGCAACAGTCTCTGCAGCAGCCGCAACCACACCAATATACCAGTGACGAAGATTATCTCAGAATAAAAAGTTAACTAAAATGATGGGGTGCAACGGAATATAACCTACGGTGTTGTACTCTATACGAGCATGCACCTATCTAGCCTATAACATATACAAAATATATGTTGACACACCCCCTAGTATAGATAAGGGGCAACGACTAGCACGAGACACGCAGCTCAGAGTGGTACTACTAGTGTAGCCTCTGAGGCAATGGTCCGACGGCTTGTCAGAAAGAGTACAAACTAAACAAGAGTAATCCAGGGTGGCACTAGGATTCAAGCTACTGGAGCAGGAGCCACAAGGCTAGTCAAGGTAATATAATATATAGTACAAAATCAAGTTCCTAGCAAGTGAGAAGCTAGACCAAGCTAGACACAGTGCCGCTGATGATCTTTAGATGCTAGCGCCTTTGTAAATATATCAGCTGTGCTGGCACTTGAGGCCAAGTGCACTACGCGGGCCTGGCGGCGCTGCTGTGGCTCGCGTAGGAGGAAGTACCGCAGCTGAATATGCTTCGCTCTGCCCTCCAGTCGAGGCTCCTGACATAGGAGGATCATGGCCCTGTTGTCAGCGTACAGGACCGGGGCAGAGCTAGGCCATTCACCTACACTGACGGAAAGAATTGTCCACATGTTTGGCAATTTTTTGAATTTCCACCGTTAAAGGGCATTTGAACATTAAGCCTTAATTGGAGGCATTACCCACTATATGCAGGCCAATCTAGGGAGACATTAAAATGCTACACATTTGATGAAACTACTATCGTTAACAGTAAACAGCAAACATAACCAAACACGGTGCATGTGGACAATTATTTCCAGGCGGAAGCAGCAACTTGAAAAACCCTTAAACTAGTACCTGGTCCACCGCCCTTTAGCCCTAATCACTGCTTTCACCCTCCTGGGCATGCTGTCGATCAAATTGGAGCACACCTCTGATGGGATCTTCTCCCACTCCTCTTGTACACGCTCCCACAGGTCCACCATACCAGTGGGAGGTGTCTCATGCTTTCCCAGCTCCCTTTTAAGATGAGCCCACAGATGCTCAATGGGGTTCAGATCAGGACTTCCTGCCGGCCACTCCAGGACCCCATACTCCTGCTCCTGAAGCCACTGCTGCACCACACGGGACTTATGCTTGGGGTCGTTATCATGCTGGAAGATCACAGCCGAGGGGGTTAGCTTGTAAAAGTCGATGGTTTTTTTCAGCTCGTCTTGCAAAATGCTCAGATACAGCGGCCCGTCCATCCGACCATCGATTTTGCACATGAAACCCGCCCCCTCAAACGTCATACATCCCCAGATCATCAAGCCGCCGCCCCCGTGTTTGACGGTTTGCTTGATATGGTGGTGTTGGAGAGTCGTACCTTCATGAACCCAGGCGTACGCGCGGCCGTCAGAGCCGAACCTACTAATCCTCGTCTCATCCGACCATATGACCCGTCGCCAATCATCTATGGTCCAATCCGCGTGGGCCCGTGCGAACGCCAGCCTATCGCGGATATTTTTCTTGGTGAGTCGCGGCTTCTTAGGCTGCTGAACTGCGATAAGGCCGCTGGATTTGAGCGCATTACGCACCGTCCTAGGATGCACCGTGATGCCGTGCTGGGATTCGACGATTTGGGCCGCATGCCTCGAGGTTTTCGCCTCGCCGCTAGTGATCGCCCTGACGATCCCACGACGAATTCTACTCGACAGTACGCGTGGACGACCAGCAGTGGGCATTGTAGGACGTACGTCCTCGGGACTAGTCTCTGAAATCGCCTTGAGCCCAACATCATGCACTGTACTTTTCCCAACGCCAACCTGTTTCGCGATTTGCCTCGTGCTGAACCCCCTACGCAACAGGGCCACGATCCGGGCGCGACGAGCCTCATCTATCGGTCTCATCTTGGCGTAGTCTACGCCTCGGGTATAAACTTTATTCTGACTACTCGACGATTGCGTTAGGAACTATGGAGAGAATGCTCTAGTCGAAAACGGATCTAGTCCGCAGCTTGGCCAAAACTGTCCGGATGCACTCACGCGACTGAAATCTTGGCCACGCTATTAGTGCGACCCATTCAGGTTGCAAACGTATTACCCTATTGTAACTGGCACGCGTAACTTATTTGTCAGCAATGAACATTCAACGATACATCGGGTGAAAGCATTCAAATCATGTGTTGAACCTAAAATTGGACTTTATCCGGGCAATACTTTCCGTCGCTGTAAGTCTATGAGCCTAAGTCAGCCAGCGGAGCTCCTGTGCCGCCATGACACCGGCGTAGATCTCAGCCTCACAGCTAGAATGGGCAACAGACGATGAGCGAGTGGACCTCCACGAGATGTTACCTGCACCAAGGCTAAAGCAGTAGCCCTGGGAGGACCTGAGTGTCTCAGCATCGTCTGCCTACGAAGCGCCTGCGTGCTCTGTAAGGACCACTGGCCTGCGTCCTCCTAGCACTAGCCCCATGCCAGATGTACTCGCTAGATAACGCAAACCCCTCTTAGCGGCCGACCAGTGCTGCGGTCGGTGTCTGCCTGTCCTCACAAAGCGAGTCAGGATGCTAAGAGTGCATGCGAGATCTGGACGAGTGCAAGTCATCACGTACATGAGGCAACCCACCAGCTCTGTGTGCGAACAACTATGCTCTACTGACTCCTCAGGGACTGGAGCTGAGATCCTGTGATTTACTAGTAGAGGAGTGGGTTGTGCGAAGGAGAACTGAGGACCGAACCTTTGAAAGACCTAGAGCACCAAGTGTGACTGGGTGAGAGTGATGGTGTGCCCTGCTCTGTCCTTGGAGATCTGCAGGCCAAGGTAGCAGTGCAGCTCTCCTAGGTCAGTGCAGGTGTGTCTCCTCAGCAGCCCGGCCTTCACAGAGGCCAGTGCATCTCTGTCTGCAGTGGCAAAGGTCAGGTCGTCTACGTAGACAAGGATGTAGAAGGGAGTCTGGCCTGAACGAACGAAGAGCGAAGGGTCTGCAGAGGACAGGAATAACTGCACGCCAGCTAACGTAGCACGAAGATTGTCGTGCTAGTCTCGAGGCGCCTGCCGCACGCCATAAACCGGGCGCTGAAGGAGCCATTGGGTCCCTGGGGCGAAGGTACCGGTGAAGCTTGGCGGGCGATGCAAGTAGACCTGCTCGTGAAGACTGCCCTGAAGAAACGCTGCAGGGAAGTCAAAAGAGTGCAGCTCGTAGCCACGCTGTGTTGCTACGTGTAGCAGCGCGTGAAGAGTGGTCATCTTTGGGGTCGGGGCAAAGGTCTGAAAGAAGTCAACACCCTCGTGATGGCTGAAACCTCTACCAACGTAGCACGCATGGAACACCGGCGGACCTCCAGGAGGACGCTTCACCTCGAAGAGCCACCGGCCATCGACTACGTTCACCCAAGGTGGGGAAACTCCGTAGACGTAGGTGCCGGTGGATCTCCAAGATGCCATCTTCGCGTCCATGGCATCTATCCACTGAGAGGCCCAGGGTCCCGAGGTCGCCTCAGCATAAGTGCGAGGGGTCGGGATGTTAAAGGCGTCTGGGTCACCCTTCCGGAGCGTCACTATGTTGCTCCTATCCTAGCCCAGCACACTCCTTTCCAAGCAACATCAGCTCATTGCTCCTCACCCCTTGCCGTGCCGCAGCCGCCCAATGGAGATCTGCCACCCGCTGCAGTGCTGTCGCCCGCTCTTGTGTCGCCACCTGCTGCAACCCTGTGCTATAGGTGCAGCTGCTGGCAATCCCAAGGGACAGGCGGGCAACAACATCAACGGCAGTAAAGGGAGCAGCAGCAGCAGCAGCAGCAGACAACAGTGCTTCAGAGAAGATTTGAGGCGCCTCAGAAGCAATTCCAACAGGAGGGCTGCCACCACCAGCAGCAGCAGCAGCAACCGATGACGCAAGCAAATCGTGAGTTTGCGGTGGAAGGGACCAAGGAGCAAGAGGATGCCTTAGACAGCCCTTGCAGGGGCTGTCTTGAAGGCATCCTGGAGTCGAAGCTGAAAATGAGAGGACGGAGCGGGGTAGACCCACTTCAAGAGTGGGTTGGAGGGGAAGGCACGGACGTGGGCGACTCCCTCGTCCTTGTCGCCCATAAAATGCCTCTCACGACCATCCAGAATGTGTGATTCCGTGCACTGGCCGGTCGTGAGAAGCCATCGACGGAATGTGCCGTTGATTTCGCCACCCCATGCTGTGCTGGCCCAGCGTGGGTTGGAGGCATCAAGGTGGCTGCCAGCAGCACAAGCTGATTGGCTACTCTGGCAGAATACTGAATCAGCTGCTTACATAGACGATGTGGCATGCAGATGGACCAAATCGTTGGGTACGCGATCAGATAGCAGAATGGGACTCCAAACTCAGAACAATGCCCTGTCACAAGTACAGTTGAATTCAAATCAAAAATTGCATATGCACATTCCATAACTCCTGGGTGCTGTATTTTTTTTGTCTTTAATTATACCCAACCCAAAATTTCGTCGCATTTTTATTAACACCGTAGGGTGTTTTATACGGGGGATTACGGTATCTTTGTATGTTGTTATAGACTTTATAGGGTTGTGCCTTAGGGAGTACAACCCTCTAGGTTATATTCCCTTGTATCTCATTGTTCTAGTCATTTGTTAACTTTGTTCTAGCAGCCTCTTCCTGTCACCTAGAGTGCGCACCCCCAGATCATCCCTCAGGTCCTCTGCTGTCAGGTCCAGCAACACCTGCTGGCAGCACATGCACACAGGCAATGCACACACATGGAGGAGAGAGGACTGACAGTGCAATGCAGTGTGAGGGGCGAGTGAGGGAGGGATAGAAGCAGGGTTGACACAATGAGGAAGAGTGAAACACAAAGATTGTTGACAGGAAAGGCAAGGATGCAGGGAGAAGCCCAGGGCAGGGCAGCAAGGGTGCATGAGGAGGGCACCTGGCCGCAGACAGTGTGGTGGAGGAATGCAGATGCATAGGAGGCAAAGCCCTATGTTGTGAGCCATGTTACCACATCGTCTGTTGTCCATGCTGCCGGCGGGCCTGTCCATGCAGAGAAAGAGGCAGCCTGAGGAGAACGGGTGAGAGATTGCTTCTAACTACGAAGCAGATTGCTTACATGCACAGCTTTTGGCCCCCGCATCCCACAGTGGTAGCCCTAGCCATTGTGGCCAAGCCACTGTGCCGGGCTGCTTGGCATACCCATTTGCTGCAGAGGCCTCCCCACGAGCTTCGCATCAAACTGCTGTAGCCGCCTCCGCTCCTCTGCCTCCATCCACACATCACCACCCTGGCTCCCGCCGCTGCCACTGCTATTGCGTCGGGCGCGACCATCGTTGCCAGCCCCCTCATCCGCATCACCTCCCGCCTGACCATCCCACCAATCCATCCCCTTCATTGCCCTCGTCGCCTCTCTCTCGTCCTCTTTAGCCCGCGCCCAAAGGCGCGAAGCACCTCTCTGCACTCCTGCATGCTCACAGCCCTCACTCGCTCTAGCTGCAGGTGCACCGCCCCCAGCACCACGCTCACCCACCACGCACTGCTGCTGCCATACCCCACCACCGACAACCCCCCTAATGCTGCCACCGCTCCAGCAGCTGCTGATCCTGCTGCAGTGGCGGCCACTGATTGGCTGAACGGCGAGAGAAGGAAGGAGGTGAGGGAAGAGAAGGGCGAGAGGAGGAGGGAGATGGGGGAGGGGAAGCCTAGGGCGAAGACGAGGAGGGAGGCGAGGCTGGGCAGGCCGTAGGCTGCAGCGTTCTTGGCCATGTGGCGCTTGAGGCCGGGGGAGAGGACGGGCGAGGAGTGCCACGAGGCGAGCAGCCATGCGGCGCCGTTGACGCCGGGGATCAAGCTCACCACTCCAGCCACGAACCAGTCGAACCGAGGGTCGCCTGCCTCCAGAAAAAACTCCTGCACCCCAGCTACCATGCTCTCGCCCCTTCTGCTACCCTCCCCATTACTACCTCTCACACTGGCCCTGCTGCTGCTGCTGTATTCTTCCTCGGAGGTCCCACGGTCGTACGCTTCCTGGTACCTCATATTCTCATTAGCGTTGGGTCCTGCAGAGTGCGGTGCCACGTGTGGCCCAGCCTGTACGAGTCCCTGGCGAGGCTCAATACGCCCACGGCGAAGTTGAGGAGCAGCGCAAGGCACAGGAGGCGGTCCAGCAGGAGCGCGCCCGCGGGAGGCACGCGGGGCCGCCGGGCAAGCGAGAGGTCGCACGCGGGACAGCGCGACTGGTGCTGGAGACAGGCGGCTCTCCAGGAGGGCGCTTCACCGTGAACAGCCACCGGCCATCGTTTACGTTCACCCTAGGTGGGGGAAATGCGTCGACGAAGGTACCCGTGGATCTCCAAGATGCCATCTCCTGCTCCATGGAAGCTATCCACTGAGAGGGGCTGGGTCCCGAGGTGGCCTCAGCGTAGGTGCGAGGGGTCGGGATGTCGAGGGCGTCTAGGTCACCCTCAGGGACTAGTAGCATGGAACAGAGATGGGGAGCGGCCTCAGACAGGAAAGTGAGCTCGAACTGCCTATCCTCTAGGACGTCACTGCCAAGAGCAGCCACACCCTCGACGGTCGGAGGGCAGGCAGGGTCAGAGACCAGAGTGGTGGCGTAGTCCAGGCGCCGGGTAGCGGCGAAGTTAGTGACAGCAGCGACAAGAGCCGACAGACTCGAGACAGGAACGGACGGGTCGGTAACGAGAGAGGCAAGGACAGGAGGAACAAGGGGACGCGCGCACAGAGGAAGTCCGAGAACGGAGGTGGGGCCACAGCAAGCGACGACGGAAGAGGAGACGGGAGGAGAGGAGGAGCACGAGACGCGTGAGAGCGAAGCAACATAGGGTGAGAATGCGGAACAGGGGAGGAAGGATGAGCACGAGACGGACGACGAGACCAGACGTGAGACGGAGGAGTCGGGTCAGGAGAGAGGGGAGGAGACACAGGAGGAGAACGGGGAGGGAAACGAACCAGAGAGGAGTCCAAGGGAGGAAACACGGGGCCGTGGACCGGCAGAGGAGGAGGCGGCGACAGTGGGGGAGGAAACGATGGGCGGTCAGGGGAAGGGGGACCAACGAGGCGAAGAGCGGACACCGGCGGCAACAGTTGCGACTGCTGCCCGAATCCAACACCAGAACCTCCAGCGACACCATGGCTCCCTCTGAGAAGCCCCACGCCAGCACCCCAAGAGCGCACTCCAGAACCAGCACGATGGCGGCTGCGGCTGTGGCGGCAGCTGCGGAGGCGGCTGCAGTGGGGACAGCAGCGGCGGCGACAGGGGAGGCGAGACCGGGGCAGGGACAGGCGGGGGAACTGCGTCTCTCCGCCGAGTCACGAGAGTCAGCAGACTCCTCAGCAGGGACAACCGACGGGAGGGGGATGACTTGAGACACACCAGACGGGGTAGGGCGGGGAGGGGAGTGGACTCGGGCGACCGAGGGAGGGGGGGGCACCAGGAATTGGGGGGAAGTGACCGGGGGACCACGGTGGGGAAAGCGGTGGTAGAAGGAGCCGGACTCGTCAAAAGTTATGTCACGAGAGTGAAAGAACCGGTGAGAAGTTGGGTGGTAGAACTGCCAGTCCGACGAGTCGAGGGGGAATCCTAAGAAGACACAGGGGACAGTGCGGGCAGTGAGCTGGTCCGTGCCAGAGGCGCGAACGTGAGCAAGGCAGCCCCAGACGTGGAACGCACACGCGTCACCTGGGGACCCGTTCCAGAGGAGGGTCGGCGAAACCTGCAACCGCTGAGGGTGTGGCCAGAGGTTAAGCTAGTGAGCAGCGTAGCGAACATCGAACGGTCACAAAAAATGGGGTGCACCAGCATGGATCATGGACGTACGAGCCACCTCCATGACCAAACCGATGCGTCGCTCAGCGACCCCATTCTGCTGCGGGGAGCCCGGCAGGGTGAACGTCTGGGTGATGCCCTCCGCACAACAGAAATGACAAAGGCAGCCAGAGGCAAACTCGCCACCACGGTCGGAATGAAGACGCAAGATAGGGAGACCTCGGTAAACACGCGCAGAGACAAGCAACGGGAGAAGAACGTTAGGCACGTCGGCCTTCCGCTCCTGGAGAACGACCTGGTGTAGTGGGTTTAGTGTTTGATAAGCACTAGGAAGTAGCGCTCGCGACGCGGCCCATGGACGGGGGCGGGGCCCCAGACGTCCATGTGCAGGGTCTGCAGCGGTGCGAAGGTAGGGGGGAACAAGGAGGAGTGAGGGGCACGGCGGAGCCGGCCCTCGACACAAGGCGTGCACAGTGGCGTGGGTGAGGAGGGGAGCGTAGGGAACGACTCAAGGAGGCCTAGGACAAGACGGTGCTGGGACATGTGACGAAGAAGGGTGAGGGCAGGGTGACCTAGACGGTGGTTCCACTGAAGTGACGGGTGAGTAAGCGACTGACACGAGCACGCCGAAACAAACAGGGAAGACGCAGGTACCTGGGGCAACCGGGGGGGAAGTGGTGTCCAGCGTGAATAGGCCAGACACCGGGTCCTGGGGGAACATGGTGAGGGGGGCATCAGTGGCGGCCTCGGTACAGACAGCGTACAGCTCATGCCAAGGGAACATAGTGGTGACGCTAAGGTCCTGGAGGCAAACGACACCAGCTAGGTTCCTAGAGAACGAGGGGATGTGCAGGCCTGTAAGTGAGCTTAAGGGAACCGTCGGACAGGGGAGAGTAGTGGAGCTATGGGCAACTACAGGACCAGAGGAAGGGTCTGCAAGAGCAACTGCAGCAAGAGCGGCAAGTGGGGTAAACGCCGTGGAGTCACGAAAGAAACACCGGGAAGCGCCGGAGTCCAGGGTGAAGGAGAGCCCGGCAGCGGCGACAGAGATCGGAGGAGCGAGGGAGGACCCTAGGCTAAACAAGGAAAGGGATCCTACGCCTGACACAGCAGGGGAGCCTGCACTAGGCACACTGGGCACACCTACACTAGGCAACACAGGGTAATACGAACCAGTCACACTAGAGTCATCAACATACAGCGCATACAAAGCAGAGCTAATCTCATCCATGTCCGTATCAAAGATCTGAACACGATGACGGAGCAGACTGTGCCAGTCGGGGAGGTTAGGCGACGGGCCGAAGTGGAAACGAAACATGTCATCTAGGCGACGAAAGCAACGAGCGGGGGTATGGAAGATCTTACCGCACACGAGGCCATGGCGAGGACTGGTCTGGAGCTGGTGCTGGTAGCGCCCGTCACTTTGACTACCACCCGACAACACTTCGCGGTAGCCCAAATTGTAGGTCTGATTTGTCAGGCTTGAAATTTTTTGGGCCTGAAAAAACAAGCCACTTCCAAACCCCTGTCAACTTATACATATATTGTTATGTAGAAATTATAGGCTAGATAGGGTATGTTCTTAGTGGGTACAGCCCAAGCGCTATATCTCCCCTTGTTCTCCCTTCTTCCAACCATTCATTATAGTCTTAACATGGTATCACGAGTAGGTAGGTCCACCCACCCGCTTCCGCCCCGTGCTGCCACCTACCGGACCCTCGCGCCCCTAGCTGGCCCCGCGCGCCCCTACGGCCCCGTCACGCCCCTAGCAGACCCCGTCGCGCCCTTACGCCCCCGCTGCGCCCTTATGGCCCCGTCGCGCCCCTACGGCCCCGTCACGCCCCTAGCAGGCCCCGTCGAGCCCCTACGGCCTCGTAGCGCCCGTACAGCCCCTCGCCCCCCTAGCCGGCCCCGTCGCGCCCCTAGCTAGCCCCGTCACGCCCCTACGGCCCAGTCACGCCCCTATGGCCCTGTCGCACCCCTACGGCCCCGTCGCGCCCCTAGCTGGCCCCGTCGCCCCCCTACCGACCCCTTGCGCCCCTAGCCGGCCCCGCGCACCACCACGGCCCCGTCACGGCCCTACTGGCCCCTCGCGCCCCTAGCCGGCCCCTCGCGCCCCTACGGCCCCTTGTGCTCCTACTGGCCCCCCCCCGCGTCCCTAGCCGGCCCCACGCGCCCTTGTCGGCCCCGCTCGCCCTAGCCGGCCCCTTGTGGCCTAGCCGGCCCCTTGCGCCCTAGCCGGCCTCGTCGCTTGAGCCACCGAGCCGCCGTGTCCCCGAGCCTCCGAGCACTCGCGCCGCCGAGCCGCCGAGCTGCCGTGCCGCCGAGCCACCGCGCCACCGAGCCGCCGCGCCGCCGAGCTGCCGAGCCACCGTGCCGCTGAGCCGTCGAGCCGCCATGCCGCTGTGTCCCCGAGCCGCCGCCCCGCCGAGCCGCCGAGTCACTGCGCCGCTAAGCCGATGTGCCGCTGTCACACTGTGCGATGGCGGACGCTGTTCTTCGCTTGGACGCTGAGGGGCAAGCGATCGACTTCGCCGCCTGGCTCGTTGACCTCCGCCGGCACCTGACAGGTTAGCGCCAGGATGGGCACTCCCTGGCTATACATGTTGATGGTTTGCTTTCCCGCCCCCCTGCGCTTGATCCCCTCCCTGCTGACCCTACCACTGCTGAGAGCGAGGCTTTTGCTACTGCTGCGCTTGCTCGAGCTGTCTGGGATTCTCGCGACACAATAGCCCAGCTTGCCATTAGCCATGCCCTCCCCCTGTCTGAGCGTCCGCGCTTTACCACTGTCGCGAACGCCAAGGACTTTCTCGCTGCAATAGTTGAGTGTTACTCTACACTTGCTTCCGCCTCTGCTGGCCGTTTGATCCTACCCATGCTCTTCCCTGAGCTTTCTGCTTTCCCCATGGTAGCTGACCTCGCTACTCACCTCCGTGCACTAGAGACCAGCTACCGCACTGCTAGCTCTGCCGCCCAGCTTACTGCCTTCCCCCCACCTTTCTGCGCTACCCTGTACCTCATCGCCATGCGCCTGCCTGACCGCTTAGCCACTGCCCGCGACCACTTCCTTAGTCAGCACCCTGCCGACCTCACCCTGACCGCCTTTGTCACTACTCTGTGTGAGATAGAGACTCGCCAGCGCACTATCGCTCAGTCGAGCGGTGTTGCGGCAGTCCCTATCTTTTAGGGCTGTGCCCCCTCCCAGTGCACGTATGCTGACGTCTCTGCCGTAGTTGCCACGACTGCGCCTGCACCTGAGAAAACAGCTGCGGCTTACCCGCAGTAGTGCCAGCACCGGAGCTGCCGTGGCCCCAAGGGAGGACGTGGAGGTGGCGCTAGTGGTGGTGGTGGCGGGGACAGTGGTTCTGACGAGGGGGGTTGGTGCTGGTGCCCAGGAGCAGCAGCGCCACAGTCGCAGCCGCCGCAGTTGCGGCCGCCGCAGCAGCAGCAGTCGTGGGCTCGTCTCCTGGCCGGGTGACTAGGAGCCTCTGGCGGTGGTGGTCGTGGTGGTGGCCCTCGCAGCTCGGCATCAACCGGCAGCTTCGGTGCTGTGAGCTGCCAGTACCAGCTTCAAACCGGGCCCCTGCGTTGCACAGTGTGCTGCCGCCCGCACCCCACCGCCCACTGCTTCCGTCGCCTCGACGACCTCTTCCGTCGCCGCTTTGGTCCAACCGCGGACCTCCTTGACTGGCCCAGCCTGCTGCGCCACGGTGTGCCTGTGTTTGACTTAGATATGCATCAGATTATTTCTGCCTTGAATTCTCTGTTTGCTAATGCTTCGAGTGTTTCTGGATCGTATACTCTGTGTTCTCTAGCTTAGGCGTAGCACCTGTGTGTAGTCCAGACTTCCCTACTTCGTCACGCGTAGGACAGCTTGCTTTGTCTAGCCTAGGCTCTATCCTTGCTCCTCCATCGTCGGCCACTACGGCGTCGCTGTCCTTCACTCTAGACTTCGGTGCGTCAGCCTGTTTCTTCCGCGACAACGCCGCCCTCACGCCGCTTGCTGCGCCTGGCGCTATCGCCCTTGCGGACCCCTCGTCTGGTCCTGTAGTTGCTCCCAGCTACACTACCCTTCCCTGTCTAGCGGTTCCCTCGGGTTCCCTTACAGTCCTGCACATCCCTTCGTTCTCCAGAAACTTAGTTGGTGTCGGCTCTCTTCAGGACCTCGGCGTAACCACTACGTTCCCTGGTCACGAGCGGTACACGGTTTGTTCCGAGGCCACCTCAGGTGCCCCCCTTGCGACGTTCCCCCAGGACCCTGTGTCTGGCCTGTTTACGCTGGACACTACTTCCCCCGTGGCGGGCAAGTACTCCTCCAGTCCTGCGTCCACCCAGGTAGCTGCGGCCTGCTCGTGTCGGTCGCTCACTCACCCGTCACTGTTGTGGCACCACCGCCTAGGTCATCCCGCGCTCCCCCGCCTGCGTTATATGTCTCAGCACGGTCTAGTCCTCGGCCTCCTTGTGTCGCTCCCTGCTCTCCCTCCCTCGCCTGCACCGCCGTGCACGCCCTGCGTTGAGGGTTCAGCTGCGCCGTGCTCCTCACTCCTCCTCACTTTGCCCTGCCACTGCACCCCTTCACACCCTGCACTTGGACGTCTGGGGCCCAGCCCCTGTCCTTGGACCGCGTCGCAAGAGCTACTTTCTGGTGCTCGATGACGACTTCACGCGCTACAACATGGTGTTTCCCCTGGAGCGGAAGGCCAACGTGCCTGACGTTCTTATCCCGTGGCTCGTCGCTACGCGCCTCCACCGCGGTCTCCCTGTGCTGTGTCTCCACTTCGACCGTGGCGGCGAGTTCGCCTCTGGTCGGCTGGGTCACTTCTGTCGTGCGGAGGGTATCACCCAGACGTACACCCTATCGGACTCCCCGCAGCATAATGGGATCGCTAAGCGTCGCATCGGTTTGATGATGGAGGTGGCTCGTACCTCCATGATCCATGCCGATGCACCCCATTTTCTGTGGCCGTTCGCTGTTCGCTACGCCGCTCACCAGCTTAACCTCTAGCCTCGCTCTCAGCGGCCGCAGGTTTCGCCGACACTTTTTTGGACCGGGTTCCCTGGTGATGCGTCTGCGTTCCACATCAAGGGCTGCCTCGCTCACGTTCGTGCCTCCGGCATGGACAAGCTCACTGCCCACACCGTCCCCTGTGTCTTCCTCGGTTTCCCCCTTGACTCGTCTGACTGGCACTTCTACCACCCGTCGTCTCACCGCTTCCTTCACTCCCATGACGTCACTTTCGAAGAGTCTGTCTCCTCTTTCCACCGCTTTCCTCACTGAGGTCTCCCAGTTTCCCCCCCCTGTTTTTGGTTCCCACTCCCCCGGTCGTCCTTGCTCCCCTCCCTCCCCATCCTGCTCCGTCCTGTGTGTCTCACGTCACTCCCCTCCTGTCGGTTGTCCCAGTCGAGGAGTCGGCTAAATCTGGTGGCCCCGCGGCGCAGTTTGCGCTTCCTGTCCCTCCCCCGGTATCTCCTACTCCCTCGTCGCAGTCGCCGCCGCAGCCACCGCCGTCACCACCGCCGCAGCCGCAGCCGTTCGTGGACTCTAGGGGTGCTGGTGTTGGAGAGGGTGCTAGTCCTGGGGCTCCTGTCATGGCTTGTCCCGGCAGGCTCCGGGGTGGCACCGGCGCTGGAGACGTTTCTCGTTCTGGAGGTGCTGGCGTGGAGGGTACCGGAGGTAGCAATGGTGGGTGGTCCAGGTGTCGGCGTTGAGCAGCAGCAGCACCAGTCGTCGCTGGCGCCCTTCGCCTGATCGGCCTTCCCTCCCCTGACCGCTCGCTTGTGCCTCCCCCACTGCCTCCTCCCCTTCCTGTCCACGGTCCTATGTTTCCTCCGCCCGACTCAACCCCGGCTCGTTTCCCACCTCGTTCCTCTCCTGTTACTCCTCCTCTGTCTCATGATCCGACGCCTCCGTCTCACGTCTGGTCTCGCCGTCCCTCTCGTGCTCGTCCTGTCTCTCGTGTTCAGTGTTCTCATCCTATGTTGTTTCGTTCCCACGCGTCTCGTCCTCCCGGTTTGCCCTCGCCTCCTCCGTCGTCGCTCACTGTCGCAACTCCCCCTCTGTCTGACTACCTTTCTGCTGCTCGTCCTCTTGTTCCTCGGGTCCTTGCCTCCCTCGTTACCGACCCGTCTGTTCCTGTCTCCAGTCTTGACGCTCTTGTAGGTGATGTCGCTGAATTTGCCTCTACTCGCCGCCTTGACTTCGCTACCGCTCTGGTTCTGACCCTGTCTGTCCTCCGTCCGTCGGCGGTGCTCCTGCCTCGGCAATGACGTTTTGGAGGACCGGTAGTACGAGCTTGCTTTCATGTTAGAGGCTGCTCCCCATCTCAGTTCCATGCTGCTAGTCCCTGAGGGTGACCCCGACGCCTTTGACATCCCAACCCTTCGCACCTACGCTGAGGCGACCTCGGGACCCTGGGTCTCTCAGTGGATAGCTGCCATGAAGGAGATGGAATCTTGGAGGGCTACCGGCACCTACGTCGACGCAGTTCCCCCACCTGGGGCGAACGTAGTTGATGGACGGTTGCTCTTCAAGGTGAAGCGCCCTCTTGGAGAGCCGCCTGTGTTCAAGGCGCGCTACGTGGCTAGAGACTTCAGTCAGCAAGAGGGGGTGGACTTCTTTCAGACCTTCGCCCCGACCCCGAAGATGACTACTCTTTGGGCGCTGCTACACGTAGCAGCACAGCGTGACTACGAGCTTCACTCCCTCAACTTCTCCACTGCTTTCCTTCAGGGCAGCTTACACGAGCAGGTCTACTTGCGTGGCCCTCAGGGCTTCTCCGGTACTTTCCTTCCTGGGACCCAGTGGCTCCTCCGGCGTCCCATCTACGGCTTGCGACAGGCGCCCCGTGAGTGGCACGACACGCTGCGTGCCACGCTAGCTGACCTGCAGTTCTTTCCGTCCTCTGCTGACCCTTCGCTCTTCGTTCGTACTGGCCAGACTCCGTTCTACATCCTGGCCTACGTAGATGAACTAGTCTTTGCTACTGCAGACAGAGACGCGCTGGCCTTTGTGAAGGCTGAGCTGCTGAGGCGACACACCTGCACTGACCTGGGAGAGCTGCGCCGCTACCTTGGTCTGCAGATCTCTAGGGACAGAGCAGCGCCCCGCATTACTCTTACACAGTCTCACTTGGTGCGCCTGGTCCTTCCGAGGTTCGGTCTTCAGTTCTCCTCCGCACAACCCACACCTTTGCCGGTAGACCACAGGCTCTCAGCTCCAGTTCCCGAGGAGTTAGCAGAGCCTAGTGGTCCTTATGCAGAGCTGGTGGGTTGCCTCATGTTCCTGATGACTTGCACTCGCCCAGATCTCGCATACCCTCTCAGCATCCTGGCCCGCTTTGTGGCCACAGGCAGACACCGACCACAGCACTGGTCGGCCGCTAAGAGGGTTTTGCGTTATCTTGCAAGTACATCGGGCATGGGGCTAGTGCTGGGAGGCCGCAGGCCAGTGGTCCTTACTGGACACACAGACGCTTCCTGGGCAGACGACGCTAAGACCCTCCGGTCCTCCTAGGGCTACTGCTTCAACCTTGGTTCTGGTGCCATCTCGTGGAGGTCCACTCGCTCCTCGTCTCTTGCTCAGTCTAGCTGCGAGGCTGAGATCTACGCCGGTGCCATGGCGGCATAGGAGCTCCGCTGGCTGACCTTCTTGCTTGCCGACTTAGGTGAGCGGCCTAGCTCTGCCCCAGTCCTGTACGCTGACAACGGGGCCATGATCCTCTTATATCAGGAGCCTCAACTTGAGGGCAGAGGGAAGCACATCCAGCTGCGGTAGTTCCTCCTGCGCGAGCTTTAGCAGCGTCGCCAGGCCCGCGTAGTACATTTGGCCTCCGATGCCAACACAGCTGATATCTTTACTAAGGAGCTTCCACCTGGAGATCACCAGCGACGCTGCTTGCAATTAGGTCTAGTCCCAGTTGACTCTCACTTGCTAGGCCCTTGATTGTGTACTCTTTTCTACTTATGCCTTACAGACTGGCCTTGTGGCTTTTCCTCCAATGGTTGGACCTGGTTTGCTCTGTCTTGCTTGTAGTACTCTTGGTGACTGGTCTTCGGGCCCTTGCCTCAGAGGTTGGACTAGTAGTGCCACCCTAAGCTGCGTGTTTTTTGCTCTGCACTACCCCTTACCTAGCCTAGGGGGTGTGTCAACTTATACATATATTGTTATGTAGAAGTTTTAGGCTAGATAGGGTATGTTCTTACTGGGTACAACCCAAACGCTATATCTCCCCTTGTTCTCCCTTCTTCTAACCATTCTTTCTAGTCTTAACAACCCCGACCCTGAAAACCATGGCCTGTCACAGGGGTGACCCTGAGTCATCAGCCCTCCCAAAACTAATCTGAGGGCCTGAACCTAACTGTTTTTGTCTTGCATAGTCATGCTTTCTCACAACAGAACCAGCACAATGCAGCCCCTACTCCCTGCCACCCTGCACCTATGCGCGCTGCCAGCATGGTGCGAGCCCTAGTACGCAACACCCCCGGTGAGTCCCTCCCCGTCGTGCACCAGGCTCTCCGTGAACCAGTACCCGTCCCAGCTGCCGCCCTCGCGCTGCCACCACCATGGCCCAGGGGTGCGGTGGGGTCACACAAGGGCGAAGGGGGAGGAGAGGCAGTGAGAGCGTGATGTGGGGCGCTGCAGTTGAGAGACAAGGTGGAAAGCATGTGAGCAGCAATTGTGTGGTGCAGACATGAGAGCGTGGGACATGGGGAGCATTCCCTCGCCTGCACCACTACCGGGGTTGTGCAGTGCCGGCATGTGCCTGTCCCCGCCATTGCTGTGCATCTCTCATACCCCACCAGCGGCACCTTCCATGGGAAGGGAGTAACGCACGCCTCTTCCAAGAAATGCACCTTGTCACCACCACACACAACCGCCCCACCCCACCTGTCCAACCTGCCCCACCTTCCCCCGACCTGCCCCCACCTCCCCTCCTGCCCAACTGCCCACCTTCCTACCTGCAGCCCACCTGCTCCAGCGTGAACTCGAAGGTCTCCAGCTCGCCCGGGCGCAGCCCCTCCACCTGCACGCGCTGCTTCATGCGCACCTGCCACGCCCATGCCGCAGCCAGGCACGCCGCAGGGTGGAGGGGGTGGGGGAGGGGGAGGGGACAGAGGAGGAGGGGTTGGAAGAATCCAAGAGAAAACTGTAGCAGGCTGGACCAAGGAGAAGCATGTAAAAGGAAACAAAGGGAGAGCTCGAAGGCAAGAGAAAGGCGAATCGATGGATGAGAGCACTCTGAGGGGGTGGTGGGTACTGGGGAGACGTAGAAGGAGGAGAGGAGGTGATGGCGCTTGTGGGAGAGCAGCACGCGGTAGTGCGAGTGGTGGAACAGACGCCGAAACCGCTCGAACTGCCACACACGCATGCGGGGGCGGTGAGGATGAAGGAAGGAAGGATGAGGAGGAGGCGTGGGGAAGGGCGAGTCACTGGAACTGCAATGCCCCGTCTCTCTTGCAGCAGCACAATCCCACGCCCTGCACTCGAACCCTCCACCGCTCCTACGGTGTGCACGGTGGAGGAAGAAAGAGCACGTGGTGGAGGAGGCGAGAGTGGTGGCTGTGAGGCATGGCAGGGAGGGATGGGTGCATGGCATGGGTGGTCAGCAATAAGGCCCTCCACACTGCATGCACACAGTGCCGCAGGCAGGCTCAGGAGCCCGCTGCTAATGGTGCCCCCTCACTCCACCTCACCTGCCCCAAGTCAAATCTCGGGCCAAAGTACCGCGAGCGCTCAAACGGGTCAAACCCTGCAAACTGGGGCAAGGGACACAGGAAGGGCGGCAGTGAAAAAGAGAACACAGGATACACGGCAGGCCATACGGCCACACGGCAGGCCACACACAGCAGGCCACATGGCAGGCCATGGGAGCGAGGGCGGCGACAGGTCACAATGGGGGGTTGCGCGCAATTAAGTGCAAGTGGTTGGGGACCATGGCGTGGCAGCGAACACAGCCGTTGGTCCTCTTTCAACCCATAAACCTGTTCCTCCACCATCCCATGCTCCTTGCCTCCACACACATTCACACACACATTCACTTACACATTCACTTACACATTCACATACACATTATCACACACACACACACACACACACACACACACACACACACACACACACACACACACAAGCACGAATTTCCGAGTACACAGCACCCGTAGTCCCACAGTGTGTCTGCTGGCACACGCAACACTCTCACTGCCCACCCCATGCCCGCGCCACATGCCCTGCCGCGCACGCACGCGGTACATGACCTCCACGCCGTGGTCGGGGTACGGGTGGTCGTTGCACTGCAGCGCCCACAGCTGCTGCTGCACCGCCTCCTCCGCACTCAACTGTCATTATCCAGGGGGGCGGGGGGCCGGGGGATGGGGGGGGAAGCAGTGTGAGGAGGAGAGGTGGGGAAATGGGGTGGAGAGAGGGAGAGGGCGTGGTATTGACTCTTGTGAGAGTGCGCTGCATGGGGCTGTGGGGGGGAGTGCGCAGCGGGGTAGGCATGAGCAAAGCAGGCAACTCGCCTTGTGCACAGCTGACAGTGCGCATCCAACCCAGCGCGCATCCAACCCAGTGCACACTCGATTCAGCTCACCTCTAGCCTGGGCCCCAGTGGCTTCTCGTCCGTGCCTCGTTTCCTGGTCCCATTGCGCGGAATCAGCCCCCGCCCAGCCACGTGGCGGTGGGAGGAAGGGAAGGGGGGGCAGAGAACGTTGGGGGGGTGTGGAAGTGGGGAGGATGGGGTTTCAAGGGCAGGCGAGGGCGACAGGGCGCATAACAGTGGGCGGTGGAGAGGAGGTGGCTAAAGGAGGGCGCGCAGGGAACGAGGGGGGTGGGGAACGAGCGGGGTGGGGAGCGGTGGGGGTGGGGAGCGGAGGAAGAGGCGGTGGAAAGGGCCGTTGGAATATCGCCAGGAGAATTCGCGGGGGGAAGAGGCGTTGGGCACACGGCTCGCGGTGATTGGATGGAGGCGGCGGGCGGGCGGGGCAGAGGGGCGCACCAGGAGGCGGGCAGGTAGTCGGGCACGCCCGCGCTGCACCGCGTGCCGCCGCACGCACCTCTCGCGCCACCGCGGGCGGCGTGCAGCCGGCGCTCCTCGCCCCTGGCGCTGAGCGCCGCGGGAGGGACGCCGCGCGCACGAAAGGTGCGAGGGACGGCGGGCGCGAGGATCCGCGGCGGAACGGACGACGCGCGTTGCGGTGAGACCGGCGGGGCACGGCGCCGCATGGCGATGCCACCGTAGCGCGCCGCGGAAAGTGGCGGCGCACGTGCGGGTGCCACCATAGACGTTACTAGGTGCGGTGGGAATGGCAAGAGGCGAGGGGCGCGGAGTGGATGGCGGCGAAGAATGGCGACAGCGAGGCAGCAAAGCCAAGTCCAAAGTGAGCTCGTGCTTCCAAGACTTGACCGCTTTCAGTGAAGCGTGGAGCGATGACGTCGGAGCAATGCTGACATAGTGCGCTATGTCAGACAACACAGGTGGCCAATCACACCTATTGTTACGCGATACAAGTCTCTTCAAAGTCACCTAGGTGCACTACCCTAGGAATATTAGATGCAACCTTCCCAGATATTTTCACTAAAGCATTCAAGCATGCATTCATTTGTCAGATTATATATATATTATAATTGAGTAGGCTTGGTAGGTGTGCTATAATTACTGGATCCTATTGTGGAGGGTACAACCCCCCCTTCTTGTATCCTTTCCTCTTATAGTCCAATCCTCTTTCATCTCGTAACTTTCCTCTCTAGCTAAAACCTCTCGATCATTCTCATGACTAGCTAGCTGTTAGGCTACCTAACTCATTTCAACATGGTTTCAGAGCAGGCCGATCCTGCAGAGCCTTGTCATCACGCTTCCGCAGCGTCCTCTCGCCCCTCCCGTCGCTTACGCGTCGTCGTGTTGGCCACGTCGTGCTGCCACGGCGGCCTTTATCAGCTGTCGTGGCAGCCCCGACGAGCTGCCGTGGCGGCGTCGTACTGCCGTGGAGGCGTTGACGCGCCAGCGCACGGGCGGCAGCGGGCCGCGCACCGTTGTAGGCGCCAGCCATGACGCATGCACGCGAGCCAGTGCGCCAGTCACGGGCACCTTGCTGAAGCACATCCTCTTGTTAAAGTAAGAATGAATAATAGACTAGAAGTGGAAACCTATAACAAATACTAGTTGGTTGTACTCACTAGAAGCATACCTCAGTCTAGCCTATAACTTCTACATAGCTAATATGTATAAGTTGACACACCCCCTAGGCTAGACAAGGGGTGAAGCTAAACAAGAAGCAAACAGCTCAGGGCGGCACTACTAGTCCAACCACTGAGGCAGGGGTCTGGAGACCAGTCAGCAAGAATACAACCAACACTAAAGCAAGCCAGGGCGGCACTACTAGTCCAGCCACTGGAGGTAAGGCCACAAGGCCAGTCTGACAGGCATATATAATAAAGAGTACACAATCAGGATCCTAACAGGGGAGCAGCTACAGGAACAAGACCAAGCTGTACACAGTGCCGCTAATGATCTTTAGGCGCAAGCGCCTTAGTAAAGATATCAGCTGTATTGGCACCTGAGGCCAAGTGAACTACGCGGGCCTGGCGGCGCTGCTGTAGCTCACGCAGGAGGAAGTACCGCAGTTGGATATGCTTCGCTCTGCCCTCAAGCCGAGGCTCTTGACACATGAGTATCATGGCCCTGTTGTCAGCGTACAGGACCGGGGCAGAGCTACTGTAGGCCGCTCACCTAAGTCAGTGAGCAAGAAGGTCAGCCAGCGGAGCTCCTGTGCCGCCATGGCACCAGCGTAGATCTCAGCCTCACAGCTAGACTGAGCCACAGACGACGAGCGAGTGGATCTCCAAGAGATAGCACCCGAACCAAGGCTGAAACAGTAGCCCTGCGACGACCTGAGCGTCTCAGAGTCGTCTGCCCAAGAAGCGTCTGTGTGCCCAGTAAGGACCACTGGCATGCGTCCTCCTAGCACTAACCCCATACCCGATGTACTAGCAAGATAACGCAAAACCCTCTTAGCGGCAGACTAGTGCTGAGGTCGGTGTCTGCCTGTAGCCACAAAGCGAGCCAGGATGCTGAAAGGGTATGCGAGATCTAGGCGAGTGCAAGTCATCAGGTACATGAGGCAACCCACCAGCTCTGCGTAGGGGCCACTGGGCTCTACTGGCTCCGCAGGAACTGGAGCAGAGAGCCCATGGTCTACAGGTAGAGGTGTGGGCTGTGCGGAGGAGAACTGAAGACCGAACCTCTGAAGGACCTGACGCACCAAGTGTGACTATGTCAGAGTGATGGTGCGTGCTGCTCTGTCCCTAGAGATCTGCAGGCCAAGATAGCGACGCAGCTCTCCCAGGTCAGTGCAGGTGTGTCTCTTCAGCAGCTCAGCCTTCACAGAGGCCAGTGCGTCTCTGTCAGCAGTAGCGAAGACCAGGTCGTCTACGTAGACAAGGATGTAGAACGGAGTCTGGCCGGAACACACAAACAGTGAAGGGTCAGCGGAGGACGGAAAGAACTGCAGGTCTGCTAACGTGGCACGCACCGTGTCGTGCCACTCGCGGGGAGCCTGACGCAGGCCGTAGACCGGGCGCCTGAGAAGCCACTGGGTCCCAGGGGGGAAGGTACCAGTGAAGCCCTGTGGTCGACGCAAGTAGGCCTGCTCGTGTAGGCTGCCCTGAAGAAAGGCAGTAGAGAAGTTGAGGGAGTGAAGCTCGTAGTCGCGCTGTGTTGCTACGTGTAGCAGCACCCGAAGTGTGGTCATCTTCGGGGTCGGGGCGAAGGTCTGAAAGAAGTCAACCCCCTCGCGCTGACTGAAACCTCTGGCCACGTAGCGCGCCTTTAAGATAGGCAGCTCTCCAGGGGGGCGCTTCACCTTGAAGAGCCACCGACCATCAACTACGTTCACCCCAGACGGGGGAACTGCGTCGACGTAAGTGCCGGTGGACCTCCAAGATGCCATCTCCTGCTCCACTGAGAGGCCCAAGGTCCCGAGGTGGCCTCAGCGTAGGTGCGAAGGGTCGGGATGTCGAAGGCGTCTGAGTCACCCTCGGGGACAAATAGCATGGAGCAGAGATGGGGAGCAGCCTCGGAAAGGAAAGCAAGCTCGTACTGCCTGTCCTCTAGGACGTCACTGCCAAGGGCAGGAGCACCCCCAACAGACGGAGGACGGGCAGGGTCAGAGACGAGAGCGGTAGCGTAGTCAAGGAGGCGGGTAGAGGCAAAGTCCGCGACAGCAGGGACAAGCGCGTCAAGGCGCAAGATAAGAACAGTAGGGTCGGTAACAAGAGAGGCAAGGACCCGAGGGACAAGGGGACGAGCGGCACGGAGGTAGTCAGAGAACGGAGGAGGTGCAACAGCAAGGGACGAGGGAGGAGGGGACGGGAGGAGGGGAGGACGAGACGAGCGGGAGCGGAGCAACATAGGGTGGGTGGGACGGCGAGACCAAACGTGAGACGGAGGTGTAGGGTCAGGGGACAGTGGAGGGGAGACGGGAGGGGAATGAGGAGGAAGATGGGCCGGAGACGAGTCCGGCGGCGGGAACACATGATCGTAGACAGGAAGGTCAGCAGGAGGTGGGGGAGACATCGGCGCGCGATCCGGGGAGGGAAGGCCAAGCAGGCGGAGAGCAGAGACCGGCGGCAACGGCTGCTGCGGCGGCGGCAACAGCTGGGCCGGAACCCTCGGACCGGCAAAGGCAGGACGACCGTCGGCAGAACTCTCAATAGCAGCACCCCCAGAACCAACACCCCCAGAGCAAGAACCCCCTCCAACACCAGCGGCACCCCCAGAAGCCACAGAACGAACACCCTCCTCAACACCAGCACCCCCAGGGGCCAAGAGCGGCGGCGGCAGTGGCGGCGACAATTGGGGCGGCGATGGCTGCGGCGGCGGCGACAGCGGCGACGGCTGCGGCAGCGACGGCGGCGGTGGCTGCAGCGGGGTCGGCGACTGCGACAGTGGGGGTGGAGGCACCGGGGAAGGGGGACGCGGCAAGGACGAACCGGGGGTACCACCAGAGTCAGCAGACTCCTCAACGAGGACAACCGACGTCAGGGGAGTGACGTGAGAGACACCAGATGGGGCAGGACGAGGCGGGAGAGGGGCAGGGACTACCGGGGGAGAGGGAGCAAGGAACAGGGGGGGGGCAACCGGGAGACCTCAGTGAGGGAAGCAGCGGTAGAAGGAGACAGACTCGTCAAAGGTGACGTCACGAGAGTGGAGGAAGCGGTGAGACGGCGGGTGGTAGAAAAGCCAGTCAGACGAGTCCAAAGGGAAACCGAGGAAGACACAGGGGACAGTCCGAGCAGTGAGTTTGTCCGTGCCAGAGGCACGAGCGTGAGCAAGGCAGCCCCAAACGTGGAACGCAGACATGTCATTCTGAGGACCCAGTCCAAAGGAGGGTCGGCGAAACCTGCGGCCGCTGGGAGCGTGGCCACAGGTTAAGCTGGTGAGCAGCGTAGCGAACAGAGAACGGCCACAGAAAATGGGGGGCATCGGCATGAATCATGGAGGTATGGGCGACCTCCATGACCAAGCCGATGCGGCGCTCAGCAACCCCATTCTGCTGTGGTGAGTCCGGCAAGGTGAACGACTGGGTGATGCCCTCTGCACGACAGAACAGTCCAAGCCGACCAGAGGCGAAATCGCCGCCACGGTCAGAGTGGAGACACAACACGGGGAGACCACGGTGGAGACGCGCAGCAACAACCCACGGGAGAAGAACGTCGGGCACGTCGGCCTTCCGCTCCAGGGGAAACACCGTGGTGTAGCGCGTGTAGTCGTCGACGAGCACAAGGAAGTAACGCTCACCGCGCGGTCCGGGGACGGGGGCAGGGCCCCAAACGTCCAGGTGCAGGGTCTGAAGGGGGGCAGTAGCAGGGCGCAGCGAGGAGGAGTGAGGAGCATGGCGGAGCCGACCCTCGACGCAAGACGTGCACGGTGGCGCAGTCGAGGGAGGAAGGGCAGGGAGCGACGCGGGGAGACCTAAGACAAGACCGTGCTGGGACATGTGACGGAGACGCGGGAGAGCAGAGTGACCTAAGCGGTGGTGCCAGAGAAGGGACGGGTGAGTGAGAGACCGACACGAGCAAGCTGCAGTGACCTGGGAGGACGCACCAACCGGGGGGGAAGCGGTGTCTAGGGTAAACAGACCGAACACTGCTGCGGCGACTGCTGCTGGGACGGCGGCTGCTGCTGGGGCGGCGGCTGCGGCTGGGGATGCTGCTCCTGCCCACCAGTGGTAGTCCCCGCAGGCGGACTACTGTCACCACCACTACCGCCACCACCACCACCTGCGCCACCACCCCTACCTCCCTGGCGACCACGGCCACCGCGGCGCGAGCGCTGCTGCGGGTGGACCGCAGCAGCCGTCTCGGTGAGAGGGATCGCCGAGGCGACCGCAGCCGAAATGTCAGTGAACGTACACTGGGAGGGGGCACAACCGTGAAAGATAGAGACTGTCGGAGCACCGCTCGACTGAGCTATAGTGCGCTGGCGAGTCTCGATCTCGGTGAGGGTATCGACAAAGGTGGTGAGGGTGAGGTCACCCGGGTGCTGGCTAAGGAAGTGATCGCGAGCACTAGCGAGGCGGTCTGGCAGGCGCATGGCGATAAAATAAAGCGTCATGCAGAAAGGGGGGGGGAGCGCAGTGAGCTGGGCAGCAGTGCTGGCAGTGCGATAGCGGGTCTCTAGGGCACGCAGGTGAGTGGCAAAGTCTGCGATAGTAGGGAAGGCTGCAAGGTCTGGGAAAAGCATAGGGAAGAGCAGGCGGCCAGCAGAAGCAGACGTGGGTGTGGAATAGCGAGCAATAACGGCGTCTAAGTAAGCTTTGGCCGTCTCAATAGTAGCAAAGCGCAAGCGCTCAGACACAGGGAGGGCGTGGCTAATAGCAACCTGAGCGACTGCATCGCGGGAGTCCCAGACTGCACGAGCAAGCGCAGCAGTAGTGAAGGTCTCACGGTCATCAGAGGAGGGGTCAGCAGGGAGGGGAGCAGGTGCGGGGGGGCGGGGGAGCAAGCTGTCAACATGGACAACCAAAGAGTGGCCATCCTGACGCTGACCTGTAAGGTGGCGGCGGAGATTAGAGAGCCAGGCGGCGAAGTCAACCGTATGGCCCTCGGCGTCCAGTCGGAGCACAAAGACAGCCATCGTGCAGGGTCAGCGGCACAGCTCCACAGCAACATAGCGACGCAGGGACACGGCG